AGAGACAAAGACAAAGACACTCGATAGATTGACAATCAAAGCAAAGATGAGGCTGAGGATGAGAATTAGTGCTATGTTGAAAAAGACAAAGACAAGGACTTGAGCTAGAAGGTGATATGAACAGTAAAAGCAATGAAGTCTTGAAAAGGTTTTTAGACTTTGATTTTTTGCAATGATAGCATTGGAAGCAATAGAGAAATCAAATGAGTTAGCAAAGATGTTGGATGATGTTGATGTAGAAAAAGATGATATTATATAGGAGGAAATATCGATCAAAGTTCTAACAACCAATAAGTCATAACAAGTCACATCTTTTTTTGATTCATCGGTGCAAATGCAAGCATGGCTATTTAAATAAAAGAGGAAAAACCAATAAGGAAAGTATAATAAAATTATAAATACTATATATTCTTAATAAATATTAAATATATATCAGAATATTAATATGATACTATAATAATTCTAATAATTCTATCATCAATCCACTATGAGCATATATTTATTATTCTCTTTATAAAAGCAAAAGAATAAAGCAAGAAGAAAAGCACAATAATGAAGAATATCCTCCAAAATTAACATACAGTAATTAATACCATAAATTCTTAATAAAGAATTTAACACATATAAGAATTTATAGTATTAATTATTATAGTGTATTTTAATTTTGGAGAATATTCTTCATTATTGTGCTTTCCTTATTATTTTATTCTTTTGCTTTTATAAAGAGAATAATAAATATATCCTCATGGTGGATTGATGATATAATTATTATAGTATCATATTAATATTCTGATATATATTTAATATTTATTAAGAATATATAGTATTTATAATTTTCTTTAAATATCATTATAGTGGATATTCTTATTTATTATATTTTCTTAATTGGTTTTTACTCTTTTATTTAAATAGTTATATATATATATATATATATATATATAAGAATATATCTTTATTATGAGGGGATGATAGAGTTATTAGAAATATAAAGGTCGTGTTGTACGTTCGTTTAGGGAAGAAGGTGTGGGTGACATGCACCCGGGATGACACTATCGGCAATCTCAAGAGGTTGGTGGCCGCTCATACTGGGACACGGGCTCCATCATGGATCTCGTAGTCTTTAAGGGTAATATGATCCTTGTATATGTTGTACCATTTATGGATGCAAATCTCGTCCTTAAAATTTAGGACGACGGTCAGATTACAGTAATCAACTCCCGGGATGAAATTCAGTTACAAGCAAATATCATAATACTGGTATTAGAAAACTGGTATCCGATCCGTTGTTTGTCAGAGAGAGTTCTAATGTTACTAAGAGGTCGGACAAAACTCCGGTGTCACTTGAAAGTCGGGCGGAACTCTGGCATCACTTGAAAGTCGGGCGGAACTCCGGCGGTGGTCGAGGAGCTTCTTCCCTCTTCTTCTTCTTCTTCTTCTTCTTCTTCTTCTTCTTGGGTCCCCTCTTAAGAGAAATGAGGGGCTATTTTTAGTTTTTTGAGGATGGCGTGGTCATTAAATAAGAGGAAGATCGGGGGTAAATTAAGAGTGGTTTGAATGGACGACCAATGTTTATTCTCTTGATTGTGGACCGTTTACCAGACATTTGATAGCTCTAATGATATCGGAATTTGACGATCTTGGGCTCGTTGGATTCGTCTCGTCGAGCCGCTCGATTCAACTATAAGCATGCCATATTTGAAAAATATTTGGTAATCCAAATTATGGATTGAATCTTTCAAATGTGCTTCGGGTCTTTGATTTGGACTAATTTTAGCTTAGATTGGGTCAAATTTGTTGTCGTTGGGTTCGTATTTCTTAGACATTCAGTTCGACTATAAGTTCGCTGAAATTAGAGTTCAAATGACATCCAATTTAATTTTTGAAGTTTCCAATATTATTTTTGCCTCGAAATTCGTGCCCGATCAAAATAATTTTTCCATGATATATCACACATATATGATATACCTTTGTCTAATTTTGCAAAAAAAAAAAAAAAATCAATTGGACCATATAGAGCTACGTGAAGAAAATGTCTAATTTTGCATGTGTATATGATGAAGTTTCAGAAGTTTTTTCCTTTTTTTTTTTAATCATATATACAGAACTATAATTGCAATTGTAATAATTAATTAATTGCAGCATGGAAGAAATCATAAATGGATATCAGAAAGCTGAAAACATCCACTTCGGCAATCGTAATGTAGCAGCTACCAGGTACGACCTCTTAGTTCAACAATTTCCCATTAACAATTACCATATTTGGAGATTAGTGTCATTTAGTATTACAAATTAAGTATTCCATGTCAATCATAATACTAATCATCTTCAAAAAGATTTTTAATTGCTAAATTATATTACAGCTTCCTTCGATTTCGCAGCAACTCCACTGCGAGATAACAAAAATAAGGCACGAAACTGATAGGCTTCAGTTGAGCCTCAAGCAGATTACTGGGGAAGACTTGACTGGCCTAACAGTAAATGATCTCAACCAGCTGGAAGAGCAGCTAGAGTTCTCTGTTGGCAAGGTTCGCTCGCGCAAGGTAATAACTTTTTCTTATCAATTTCAATTATATATAGTATAGTTTATTATATATTATTCCTTCAATTGATGACTACTTGTTTGTAACAGAATCAACTCCTCAATCAACAGCTTGAATGAACCCGGGGAGGGGGGGCTTGGATCCGGTGACGGTTGTCGGACACAACTCCAAGAACTTCTTGGAGGAAGGATCCACCACCTAAGAATCACTCTTAGGATACAGGAAAATCTATCATTTATTACAAGCATTGCTATCTATTTATAAACAAAAGTAGCAACTATTAGGCTACACACAACATAAGCAAGCACTAATCTTATGTAACAATACAAACAACTAAAGGGAATTAAACTATCCTGAAGTTAAACCGGATTTAAGCTTAGCTCCGGCGTCATTGAGAACCTCCACTGAAAGGTAAATAGATCAATCTCATATGTTATGTCAATTAAGTTTTCTCATCTTCTTCATTAATCGATCAATCAAAATCCTTACATGTTACATGCATGCCATGACAACAGGTGATGATGGAGCAACAATAGGAGATGGAGGAACATAAGGTAAGGGAGATGGATTTTCATCAAGCACAAACTGAGGAATATCCTTTTCATCAAGCACAAACTGAGGAAGTGCCACAGCCCCTTCACTTTGTATGGTGAATCAGAACCGATCAGGCTCAAGCAGGCTCATCTGCCATAGGCTTTGGCTCTTCTTTCTTAACTTCTTTCCTATGATGCACCGACACTTCTCCTCAAAGAGGCGTGCAGTGTCCGACACGACACTCGTCCGACACTCCGACACGTGTCGAACACGCAAAAAATGTGTCCAATTAAAAAAATATTAAAAATAAATTGGACACGCGTGTCTGACACGCGTATCTTAAATATTTTATAAACTTTTTAAAATATAATTTATTATATTTTGCGAGATTTAAAATAAATTTCTTATTTCATATCCACAACACCAAATTAATGTTTGCATTTAATACCCATTCATCGAATATTTTCATTTTCATTTCTCTTTGGCAGTGAAGGTATTTTCATCTCCTCTCTTTTTGCACAATTACAAATCTTTCTCTTGTTGAACCAGGGTTGAAAGTAGTGATATTCAATGATGATGATATTGAAGGCAAAAAATAAACCTCTAAAGCTAATCCTAATAGTTGAAGCTTGAATGCTTGATGTTGTAGTAAGTGATTATTTGCTTATATTTTTGTGGTTGTACTAGATATTTTGTACTAAATATTTTATATTATAAGCTAGACAAGTTATCATATCATTCATTTATTATTGTTTGTCATTTTTAATATAATATTACATTAATATATATACACTATATAAAAAAATGTATTGCCGTGTCCGCGCTGTACCCGTGTCCTATATTTTCAAAAAAAATCGTATCCCGTGTCCATGTCGTGTCGTGTCCGTGTCGCCGTGTCCGTGTCCGTGCATCATAGCTTCTTTCTTGGCTTCTTTCTTTGCTTCCTTGGGCTTATAAGCTAGTTCCTTTGGCTGTGATGCAATTGGTGGAACAGATTCAGCCTGCTTCACCTCACCTATAATCTAATAGAGGAACCTTTCCTATTGGGTTCATTTTAAGAAATTAAAAATTTTTATTTGAAACACCCATCTGAAAATCCTTGACAAGTTCAACCTCAATTCCGCTGTATTCTGCAGCAATGAGGGTCTTGAAAGCATTTTTGTTTGGCGCTCCAGCATGAAGAACCTGCAGCGCCATGGCTTCGATGCTACTCGTTCTCTCCAATCACAGATTTTGATATGAGATGCAAGCAGACCAGAAATCTGAGAGTGGAGGGTCCCTTAGGGCATGATTCATCGAACTCCAATGAAGTCGATGAGATGTCGGACGAGACTTACCCGCTTTATCTCAACCTTGATGGCGACGAACTGGGACTTTTCCACGGCCAAATGGTTAGCTTCTCTCTCTTTTCAACTAGGGTTAAGCAGACATTCAAAATGCCCGGTAACTGGAAAGAGAATTATCGGGTTTCCTCGATTGAGGCCAGCTGAATATAAGAGATCTAGATTACAATGGAATCGAAGAACAGTTCACCATGCTTATGGCGGTGTCTTGTCCGTACCTTCCTGGTAGAGGAGCAGAAGATTGTAAGAATGTTTAGAAGATTCAGAAGGCAAATTAAAGAGAAGCAGGTTGCAAAGAGTTTTATCATGAGTTGATATGTCGATCTGGAGATGCAAAAGGCCTTTCTAGTTTTTTTTTTTTTTTTTTTTTTGGGGGGGGGGGGGGGGGGGGGAATGAGGGCAAAAGCCCATATATTACTATGTAAAAGAAGGTTACAAGTAAGGTATAACAAAAAAGGTTCCACTTCAAAAAATTGAAGAGAAACCAAAAACCTATACCCCTCACATTAAACAAAGAGAAATAGAAAAGTAACAACCCAGAACTACAGTCCACAAAACTTAGGTGCGAGAACACCTAAAGGACTCAGACTGCTAAACTGAAATAAACTTGATCAAAACGGCACCCACGAAACGTAATCTCTTGGTTGCCCAAAAAGAAAGGCCCTCCGAGGAGATGATTAGCAGCTACATCATCGTCCTGTACGGAAACCAAACGAGCCAACGAATTCTTCAATGAAGAACAACCGAGAGGCAGCCATCCCAAAAATTTAAGAACAAAAGCCCAGCCAAACAGATAGTGAAAAATAGAGCAGTAGCAGAATAAGTGCACCAATGACCTCCCAGCAGCAATAAAACATTCACATGAGAAATGCCCACACCAGTTATAGAGAACACCACAGCTCAACATAACCAAGTTCAGAATCCTAACCCCTTTAAACAGGCCACGGGGTTCTTAGCTTTTCCACCAATTTCCAGCTGGCTATCTTAACCTCAACAGCATTTTTGATGAGCATACAAAGAGTAGTAGAACATCTAGTTTTGAAATTAAACCTTCTTTCATTTCTTTCTCTCCAAATAAAATAAGTGGCACAGCCCACAGTGATGAGGTAAAACTTTTTTTGTTCTTTTGTCAAGTGAATATGTTCTCCCAAAAAGAGAAGCACTTGGATAAGCCTAGGCCTTAACAGAAATTCTCCCACCATAGGAATCAGATTTTTCAGAACATTGAAAGCATAATCACATTCAAATAGGAGGTGGCCATTTGTTTCAAAATGTGTAAAACATAAAGAACAGGTAGGATTAACCATAATACTCCTTTTATTAAGTTCATCCGTCGTTTTAAGCCCATTATTGAGAGCTAACCAAATGTAAGTCGAGTATCTCAGAGTATAGTGCTTATGCCACACAAGATTAAACCAATCCACTTTGCTTTCATACCTATGAAAGAAATTAATAAAAGCTGAGAAATAAGCTTTGTCTTTACCATTCCATCTTAAAGTGTCTTTAAACCCTTGATTACTACCAAATTGCTGAATAGTATAAGCTATAGAATCAGGGATAGCAGCGGGTAACAACCAGCCATCATGCCTTAGAAAATCAAAGACCGTGGCATGGAAAGGAATAAAATTGTTTAAATTTTGATTTGCAAATTCCTCCATAATGGATTTCCCATACACCCAAGGGTCCCAAAGAAATGACAAGATGCTGTTCGAGTTGAGATCAAAACTAATAATAGAATTGATTTGTAAAGCAGTCCTATTCATTTCACTCCAAAGGGGAGAAGCTTTGCTCAAAATCGGTGTCCACGGGGTGCCATATTTGGCATTTAAAAATTTAAATAGCATGGATTTAGAATTATAGAATCTAAAAACCAGAGAGCAGCAATTAGCAAATTGAAGCCCAACCATATTCGGGTTGCCCAACCCGCCCAGTTGCTTTGGTCTACAGGTATTTTTCCAAGCAATCAAAAAAAGCTTCCTGGCCTCCACATCTCTAAAGAATAAAAATCTAGAGCACATCCTACTAAGGGTCTTAATGCAAGTTTTTGACAGCATAGTTCCCCTAACCCAGTAGGTAATCGTATTGCAAATCGTGTATTTAATGAACTGAAGCCTCCCAACAAAATACAGCAACCGAGCTTTCCAACCAGCTAGATGATTAGAAATGGTATTCAAAAGAGGTTGAAAATCAGCTTTACTCAATTTTCTAACATAAATTGGAATCCCAAGATAGGTCATTTTATCACCAAAAGAAGAGATGTTGAGAGCTTCACAGATCTCCATAGGATTAGAAATTGATTTGGAGATGATAAGATTACTTTTTTCATGATTGACCAAGAGCCCAGATAACTGAGCAAAACCCTCTATAATATCCACAAGCAGATTACAGTTGTAAGTCGAGGCCTCCCCAAAAATAAGAAGATCATCTGCATAAAGCAAATGAGAAATAGCCAAATTCTTCCTATGAACCCCAATAAATCTTTCAGTCGCAGAAGGATTATCAATCATACAAGTGAAAACGTCCATAGCAATACAAAATAAATAGGGGCTAAGCGGATACCCTTGCTTAATACCCGAAGTGGAATTGAAATAACCTTCAAGTGCACCATCAATACAAATAGAAAAAGGAACGTCAGAAATACAGGCTTTTATCCAATTGATGAAAGTAGGAGGAAAACCTTTTTGTTTCAATCTGGCAAGGATGAAATCACGAGAAACTGAATCGAAAGCTTTACAAATATCAAGCTTGGCAAACATAAATTTCTGGTTGGCAGATTTTTTGAATTCCAAAAGAATTTCAGAAGCAAGAAGAGCATTATCAGTCCCAATACGATTCTTAATAAAGCCAACTTGATTTTCCCCAATAATTAAAGGCATGAAATTCTTCATCCTAAGCGCCATAATTTTTGTAATAATCTTGTAAAAAACATTACATAGGGCAATCGATAATGTTTTTTAAAGAGCTATAGCCGAAGCTTTAACAAACTTGGGAAGATAACCTTTGGAGAAAAAAGATTTGACCGCTTTGCAAATCAAAGGACCCGTAATAAGCCAAGTTGATTTATAAAACTCAAAATTGAACCCGTCTGGTCCAGGAGTTGAGTTGGAATTCCCGTGAAAGATAACAACCTTTATTTCTTCATCAGTAATAGGAGCAATGAGCGTAGAAGAGAGATGTGAAGGAATGGTGTTACCTTCAGAAATAGGCAGAGGATCACAGCAACCGACTGGTTTAGGAGCATTAAATAACTTCTCAAAATGTTCAATAATATAGTTAACCATATTAATCCTATCATTGGGATCATCACAAGCCACCAGTTTAGAAGAGCAAATATTCCTCCTCCTTACTCTAGCATAAAGAAATTTCAAGTCATCTTCCCCTTGAGAAAGCCAATTGATTTTTGCCCTTTGAAGCATCCAATTGGTCCAAGAAGTAGAACAGTCTGCAAGTTGAGCATTAATACCTTTGAATCTTTGATTCAAAGCTAAGTTTTGAGAGTCATTATTAAGTAAAACCAAACAGCAAGATTGTTGTTCCTTGAGAGAGTTGAATTGAGAAGACAAAAGAGAAGAGTTTGTCCAATCTTTACCTTTAAGAATCTCCTTAAATTTCTTTAGCTTGTTATAGAGCCCTAAGATGGGATTTCCTCTGATAGGCTGTGAGAAAATATCCATAAGATCAGCCCAAAAACCCTCTTGCTTAGTCCAAAAGTTTTTGAAAAGGAATCGATGATTCCCATTTGCTAACTGATTACTGTGGAGGACAATGGGAGAGTGATCCGAGCAAGAAGGAGGGAGCACCTCATATCTAGAAGTAGGAAATGATTCCAGCCATTTGTCATTAATAAGCATCCTATCCAACACCAAGTGAATAGGATCATTGGCCCTTTGATTGAACCAAGAAAACTTCAAGCCAAAAGAAGCTAAGTCAAATAAGCACATATCAAAGACTAGAGAATTGAAGTCCCAAAGTTGGGATGCAAGAAAGGGAGTTCCAACAGACTTTTCATTAGCATTTAAACAGCAATTGAAGTCCCCTAAAATCAGCCAAGGAGAGGAAATACCTGTCCCACTTCGTCGCCATCAAGGTTGAGATAAAGCTGGTAAGTTTCGTCCGACGTCTCATCGACTTCATTGGAGCTCGATGAATCATGCCCTAAGGGACCCTCCACTCTCAGATTTCTGGTCTGCTCGCATCTCATATCAAAATCTGTGATTGGAGAGAACGAGTATGTAATTATTAATGTGATCCGAGTGTTGTTTTTAATATGGCTGCATTGAAGTTTTTTGGAAGTTTATATATATATATATATATATATCCTTTATTTTATTTTGTGTGAAAAAGCATTGATTATTGCATTGCTTACGCTAGCTTAATTGAGATTAATTATTACTAATCAATTCTATCACAGGAACCAGTAATTAATTATCATTCATGTTTTAATTGAATATATTCAAATTAAATATGTAATGTTTAATTATGATTTTTAATGTGCTGCATGTTGTTAATTTTTTTTTCTTTTTTTTGTGTGTTGGTTCAAACAAAATGGCACGAATGTATGAATCCCGCTTTACAGCTGTAGGATTTCATTTTCCTTAAGTCAAATCGTAGTTAATCAGATTTTTCTTGAGGATAGTGTCAGGGTTTAAAGATCTGGAGTCCTTACTTCCTAAGAGTGCAAGCACACATATTTAATTACCCCTCTTACTACGTAAGAGAGAACTCTCGATTAAGGATGAATAAATTTTAGATAGTTTTAGTCTCAGTAGTATAGGAAGTGGAGGTAAACTCGATAAAGATCCCATGATTTTGTCATCCTGGGTATACCATAGTTCCAGTCTGCCAACACTAACAATCATTGACCGTACTATCCAAGGAATCTGATTAGCAGCCATGAGTTATCTCCTCTCAGGGATCCCGAGTAAAATGAAGTGGTTAGATGTGAGTTTTAGTTTTAATTTTTATTTTGGGTTTGGGATTTACATCTATTAGAATACCCAAAATTAATTTAGTTTGAGAATGATGACTTCATTTAGAAGTAACCCAAGAATTTGGACTAACGTTATGGCTTATTTAGAAAGTAGCCCAAGGTATTTAAATTTAGATTGTGACTTATGGCTTTTATAGAAAATAGCCCAGGGATTTGATTTGGAATTGGGGCTTACTGCTCTATTTCTGAGTTGCTCAATGATGGGTCTTACAACTAGTGGCGGAGCTAGAAAATGTATTTCGGGGGCCTAAATTGATGCATTTAGATTTTTACATTATTTTTGTTATGAACAATATTTGTTATATTTTCTATTTTTATTTTATTTTTATGTTATCCAATGATGGTGGTGAATCCAATGATCATGGTAGGAAAAGGTTTGGGTTATGCTTACCTTGGGTTTGCTGGCTTTGGGGTCCACCTTGTTCTATGAGTTGTTTGCTGGTTTCATGTGGGCCTTGGCTGTTTTCGGTTTGAGCTTTAGTTGTTGAAATTATAGTGGTGCCAGCTCATTAATATCTAGTGGACGTGTAGCTCATTATGAGCTGATATTTAGCTCTGAAATTATAGAAGTATGCAAGCTTTTGGGTGTGTGGAACTTGCCTTTTCCTCTTCTTGTTGCCTTTTGGGCTGCTGCAGTTTTCTGCTGGATTTCTCTCCTACGGACTGCTGCTCTCTTCAGGAATGTTGCTGCCTCTTCGTGTGGCTGCCTCCTTTACAGCTTTGGCACCTTTTTTTACCGAGAATTGAATTCCCTGCTGGAACCGAGACTTGCCTCCTGGTTTCCTGTGTTTGGCTGCAGGATCTGTGGCTTTCTCCTTGAGGTTTGCTGGACCGTTTGGAATTTCTGGACATAAATCAATTGGCTTTTCAATTCCCCATTTATTGGTGGAATTGAAGTGTTTTGGGCTGTTTAGGTTCCCCTCTATTGCCTATATATATATGAGATGCTTTGTTAAGAAATGGTTGGTGAATATTTGAGGGCAAAGTTGCTATAACCTGCGGGTTCTTCTTGGAAAAGCTTGAGAGCTTTGTCCACCTTCTTCCACCACCTCTGGAAATCTTGCGAGCTCTTTCCAACCTTTCATCTTGGCTTCTAACCTCTTTCTTCTCTACGCAAGTTTCACTCCACCTGTATCTTTCTTCTTGTTCCGTTGGTAAGAATTGTTGGTTGTTTTTTGTGGCATTTGCTGGAGGAGTTTGGTAGGACATTGGACCCCTTTGCAGTGGTGGACCCTCGGTTTGCATATCTAAACCTTATTTTAAAATATATTCCTACAATCGGTGCATGTGATGAGTCCTCTAGTAGGATGTTCTGAGGATAGTGTTTATTTGTTTTATGTTTGTTTCTTTTGCTAACTTTTCTTGTTGCTTTGGTTTTTTGGATGATCCCTACTTTTCTATTCTGAATTTTAGTTCTATTGTGTTCTCCAAAAGTTTCTCAAAGTTATATAAAAGTGAGTTTTGATTTACTTGGTTTTCTCTTTAACTTTTGTTCTAAGTTGCTTACATCATAAATTATTATTTTTTATTTTCCTTCAACTTTTTACATCCGAACTTGGGACCAATATAGCCAGTTCTAAAAATGATAAAACTTTGATGGTGAATTAGTTTATTTTTTCCTTCACAAAATGACTTCCAATCATCAAATCATTTTATTACTACTAGATGGGTTCAATATATTAACTAAAAACATGATATTAAAAATTTCTTTGCACAAAAATAAATCATTAAATCTCTTTAAGATCGAATCAATACATGATCAAGTTAATATCAGCCAAGAAAAAAATGTAAATGAATAGGAAATTAAATTTGGAGTGATTTGAATGGACGGCTGATGTTAAATCTCTTGATCATGGATCATTTATTGGGCATTTAAATGTCTTAGTGATATCAGAATTTGACGTTCTTGGGCTCGTTAGATTTGTCTCATCTAGCCACTCAATTCGACTATAACCAAGTCATGTTTGGAAACCATTTGGTAATCCAAATTATGGTTTAAACCTTCCAAATATGCTTCGAGTATTTGATTTGGAGTCATTTGGGTTCGTATTGAGTTGAATTTGGTGTCGTTGGGTTCGCATTTTTGAGACGTTCAGTTCGATTGTAAGTTTGCTGAAATCGGAGTTCATATGGTCTCTCATTTAATTCTTACAGTTTCCAACATGCTTTTTTCTCTATATTCTCTTTTTTTTTTCATTTTTTTAGAGGGGGGGGGGGGGGGCGCGGGCCCCCCCTCCCCAAAAAAAAGGCTTAGACCCCCCCCTTCCCTCCGCCCATGCTTACAACCTAACTCTATAGTGAGGCTGCCCGAATGTTTTAATTGATTTGTAGGACTTATGGTTTCCATTAGAAAATAGCCTTAAAAAGGCGGGTCTTACAATTTAATCATTTAGATTAAGATGCTCAATGATTTGAATTAGATTATTTAGGGTTTAGGATTATTGCTATTTATTTAGCAATTTTCCTAAAACATGGGTCTTACGACTTCACTGAAAAGTTTCCCAAATAATGGGTCTTACAACTTAGCCCTATAGGCTAAGATGCCCAAAGTTTTAAATTTGTTTGTTTCGATTAGATTTGGGTTAGGTCTTATGACTTCCCTTAGAAAATTGCATGGTTATTTATAGGATTATTAGGGTCGATATACTTCATTTTAAAAAATTTTCTTAACACATGGGACTTACAACTTCACTTAGAAGTGGCCCGTTGGTGGGTCTTACAACCTAACTCTATAGGCTAGGATGCTCATAGGTTTTAGTTATTTGGGTAGGACTTATGGCTTCTTTTGGAAAGTAACCTAAAAAAAAAGCATGTCTTACAACTTTATTCCTTAGACTAAGATGCCCAAAGGTTTAAATTTGATTATTTGGTTAGATTTGGGTTTTAGGTTCATTGCAATTTATTTAACAATTTTTCTAAAACGTGGATCTTATGGCTTCACTTAGAAGTTGCACGGAGATTTATATTTAAATTGGGATTTACGACTTTCGTAGAATGTAACACAAGTATTTGATTTAAATTGAACTTATGACTTTCGTAGAAAGTAGCCCGTTAGTGGGTCTTACAACCTAATCCTATAGAATATGATGCCCATAAATTTTGATTGGAATGTTAGTTGGAAGATTCAGTGGCTTTCTTAGAAGTTGTTTGGTTATTTGTAGGAGCGTTAGGGTTGTTGTACTTTATTATAAAAGTATCCCCAACATATGGGACTTACTATTTCACTTAGAAGTGGCCCGTTGGTGGGTCTTACAACCTAACCCTATAGGCTAGGATGCCCGAATGCATTAATTCAGATTTTTAATTGATTTTGTATTTAAATTACTTTAGATTTTTTGAAACTCTTGAATTTACAAAAGCTCTCGAATTTTAAATAGCTCATAGATTTTACATAATTAACCTTAATCAATTAATTATTTCAATTAATGAATTGATTAATTAAGATCAAAATTAGATTGCTCTCTAATTGCTCCAAGAAGTTCTATAATTTTACAGGAAATTTCGGCAGCCTCCCGGCATCTCCTCCCCACCAAGGGAGAAATCGGGACGGCACTGCCGTAATTTCTTTCTACCTAGATCTAAGGTCAACGGCATAGGGCCTTTGATTTTGAACCATCCCACCAGGATCTAAGATCAACTGCGTGGGGTCTTCGAATTTTATTTCATCCCGCCCAGATCTAAGATCAATGGCGCGGGGGCTTCAAATTTAAAACCATTCGCCCGGATCTAAAATCATGACGTGGGTCTACAAATTGAAATTTATCTCGCTGAGATCGGAGATCAATGACAAAAGATCTTTGAAATAAATTTAAATTTGTAACCTTGCAATTGCCTAAAAAAATGACTTTATTTTTGTTGCATATCAATTTATCTCAATATTTTAAATCAATATAATTAATTGCAGTAATACTGCATAACTGACAAACCTTTTCATTTTATTCTATGAAGCAATTGTAATGTTGTGCAAAATGACAAACCTTTTGATTTTATTCTCGGAAGCAATTAAGACAATGTCTTGTCTTATCTTGCATTAAATACTGAGCTTGGATAATGGATTATACAGAAGTTCACATGCAATAGTCCAATAGCTTGTTCTTCCTGATTTAAGCTATTATGATTTAATTCCTTGATGCAGCAAGCAACGGGATAGAATTCCTTGAGGCAGCAAGCAACGGGATAGGAATATCATGCAAACAAACAAAGACCGGGTGACATCCGGAGGAAAAAAAGGATCAGACGGCCTATTTGAATGGTAATCGCGTAGGTTATTTGGCCTAATTGGAGTAGTGTATGAATACTTATATAATCAAGATATCTGTATAGGTGGAGATAGTGAGTATAGGTATTTGATTTAGACCAGTCAATATCGGAACCGACCCGAAAATCCGGCCTGGAATTTTCGGGTTTGGGTTGACCCGAACCCGAAACGGGTCGGGTTCGGGTCCGGAAAACCGACCCATTTGCAAAAACGGGTCGGGAACCCGTTTATTTTAAAAAAATTCGAATTTCCGGCCTGGAATTTTCGGGTTTGGGTTGACCCGAACCCAAAACGGGTGGGGTTCGGGTCCGGAAAACCGACCTATTTGCAAAAACGGGTCGGGTTCGGGTTGACCCAACGGGTTGCCGGGTCAACCCGAAAACCCGTTTATTTTAAAAAAATTCGAATTTCTGCCCCCGCGCTACCCGCCAGCCCCGAGCTGCCCGCTGCCCGCCAGCCCCCGCCCAACTGGCCAAGCCAGTTCCACGCAGGCGTGTCCCGAGGCAGGCCATTTGGCCCATTTCCGCTCGTCCCGAGGCAAGCCAGGCCAGACGGCGGCCAGTGGCGTTTCCGCGTTCCGTCCCGAGGCGGCGGGCGGCCCAGGCTAATTCAGCGTCGCCGGCGTCCGCAGATCCGCGTCGGCGTCCAAAGGCAATGTCGCGTCCGCGGCTACGCGGGTCGGGTCGGGTTGACCCGAAGCGGGTCGGATTCTGGTCCAGAAAATTGACCCGTTTGCAAAACCAGGTCGGGTCAACCCGAACCCGAATAATGTCGGGTCAGTTTCGGGTTCGGGTCAGCCCGACCCGTAACCCGAAATTGACAGGTCTAATTTGATTAGACATTGAAAAGGGTCCGATGGTTTTGATCACACGGAAGTGAGGACTTGTTCGTCTGTGCGTGCGAATAAGGCCGACAACGACGAGTTTGATTCCGCCTGTAACAGGTGCGGGTAGCACGGACTTCAACTAAGCAGCAGCTTGTGGGAGACGAAGCAAAAGATCAAGAACAAGATTTCAGAAAAAGAAAAAAATAAACTTAATTCTGGCATTTGTATTAATAGCACAAGAATTTTTTTTTTAAAGCTCTTACTGACTCATCATGTCATGAAAGAAATTCAGTCATGTAACTTAATGACTGACTTTTTTTTTAGTCAACATTGCTTGCTGTTAATGAGGAACTTTTATTTGGTCCGGTGAACGTACGTAGAGCTACGTTCGGCCGGCACTAAGACTGCAGGCACAAAACGAGAAATACAGAGCAAATACCAACAATAACGAGAAATATCATTATGTGAAGACAAAATACTGAATAATACCGAGCAATACCGAGTAATCCCGAAAATACCGAGTTTTTTCTAAAAAAACTCGGTATTGTTCGGTATTACTCGATATTGATCTTCACATAGCGGTATTCCTCGTTATTACCAAACAAACACCAAGCAATATTGACCAAATACGGAGCAAAAACTGAGTAACAATCCTCTGACTGAACGTAGAGCTACGTCCGGTCAGAGGACGTAATAAAAGTTCGTTAATGAGGCTAGTTATCGATTTCATGGAGGAAAGCTCGATGACATTACGGTCGTAGTTTCTTATGTAACTTCCATAAGCACTCGAGTTCCATGCTTTTCTTCTGTGAACACAACTCTTAGTGTGTATTTGCTGAGCAGGTAAAGTAATGCACTTTTGTCAGTGACGTCGGAGCTGAACCGTTAATTGTATTAAACTTCAGGCTATATTAAGTCCATTTGGTAGTATAGGGCTATAGAGATGTAATGCTTTCTTGTTTTGTATGTAGCCTATTATGATGCTTTCTTTTGACTACAAATAGGTAGCCAATGCTTGTAATAAGGGAGATTTTTGGAGATTAATAAAATTAGAGTTTTACTCTTGTGAATTTTCTGTATCCTAAGATTGTTCTTAGGTGGTGGTTCTTGCTCCAAGGAGGAGTTCTTGGAGTGGTGTCCGGCGACCGTCACCGGATCGTCGACGTGAATTCGTCGAGCCCCCTCCGGTCTGGTGTCAGTCAGTGTTTGGAATTTACTTTTACAGTTTTTTTTCCATTTCAGTGTTACTTGCAGTGCCTATTTCTGTTCTTGGTGTGATTCTCATCATGATAAAACCCAAGTCTGTTGATGAGCCAACCCCGTGAAATTGGAAATTGCTTCTATGAAATATGTTGTAGCTTGCCTGCATTTTAGAATCTTATTTTGAGTGCAAACTTGGTATTTCACTACTCTTGCAAAATCTGCTTCAGTCAATCAATGATGATGATTTTTTTTAATCAACATTGTGAAATATAATGCTTTTGTATTCAATTATTCTAAATTATAATGTTCTAACTAATTCTATAATTATTTTTTAAAGAAAACATGAAAAATAAAAATAATATGATGCATAGAAATTTTGCTCGTTATCGCACAATCATGATCAAAGCAACTACTTAAGCCAAAAAAGACAAATCATAGCGTTTGCACCATTGCCTCGCTAGCTGAATAATGATCTTGGTGTCGCACATCGCTAACTTGCCACGATCTTATGCCCATATTCTCACTACCTTATAAAAAGAAGGTGACATATTAAACCGTCGACATCCATGACTCCACATTAAGGTAACTACGCATAACCATCATTACATGATAGGTTAACTTTCGCATGCAACTAGTTCGCCCAATGTATCAAATAGGGGATCATAAAATAAAGTCGAAGGCAGTAGGGCATAAAAGAGGAGGAAGAGGAAGAAAATCTCTTATAAGGCCAAGGATCTTTGCATTTTCTTCTCTCATCTCTGAAATTTCATTGTAACTCAATCATAATTGACGGTGAATGATGGGGGGAAATGGAGTAACTTCAGGATGACTTCACCTCAAATGTGAACAACCGAATAAAAGAAAAGAAAATAAAGAGAATAAGAGATTAAATTTCTCTTAAATATTTTGTTAAACAATTGATGAGCATTGTCTAAACTATAACATTTCGCATACATATTGATTAGAAGATTGTAGAAAAGAAAGCTACATGCCGCGTTCTAGAAAGTTTTAAGTTGTAAAAACAGAACTCCTTATTCCTTTGCATTTGATTGGTTTGCTCAAGATGTCAAGCCACATTGATGGGGATTCCTATTTGAACTAACTATTGATTTTATGATATTCATGATAATTCTATACATAATATAAAATAAAGCATGGTAGATTTTGATGTCTTATATAAACTAGACATTGAACAAAACAATTAACAACATCAAGCCTTTAATTTAACCCACTATGTGGGGTCGGCTACATGAATTCTTTGTCTTCATTGTATCCAGTATAAGAGTCAAATTCTCATTTAAATTTAATAAAAAAATGGCATTTCTTATATTATATAACCAAGTTTTTTTAGGTCTACATCAACCTCTCTTAACATAGGTCAAATCTAAAACATCTACTCTCCTAATTGAGTCATCAGAAGACTGGCATTTTACGTGACCAAATCATGTAAGACAACTCTCCCTAATCTTATATGCCACTAGAGCTACTCCAACATTTTCATGTATATGCTCGTTTCACATTCTATCTCTAAGAGTAACGCCACTCATCCAACTAAGTATCCTCATCCCTGCAACACTTAATTTAATTATATACTTCTCTTTTAATGTCCAATATTATGCGCCATGAAGCATTGCAAGTCTCGCCATCATCTTATGGGTACTTTTCAATCACATAACAGGCCCGATGCAATATTCATCCACTTCAACCATCCAATTTGATTTCTACTAATAATAGCATCATATACTTCACAATCACTCTGGACAATATACCCGAGATATCTAAAACATGAACTCTTATTAAGACTTGATCGCCTGTTGACTACCACACAACACTCAACTTCTTTCATCTAGGACTTATGACCTAGGAACGACATTATTCTTTTATGAAGTAATATAAACATAGTATTTAAATGTAATAATATTTTTATCATGAACTGGGTACTAAGTTTCAAAAAATATATATCAATCATTAAATTTATGTAATACTCATAAATTTTCTTATAATGATTCCTTTTTAATTAACATTTATGCATTCACATGTTACTATTAAGTAATACTAATCATCATAATTCATAATAATTATTATATTCACATATATTTGGCTTTAAATTATCTATATTAAATTTATTTTATTAACTATCAAACATACTTTAAAAATATGTCTTTATATTCTTCCAACCTTCCAGAAATTTCACTCTCAAACTTATTTAATAGAGACTTAAACTTAGTATTTAAAAAAATATATATATTTACAATATATTTGACAAATAATTAATTTAATATAAGAAAAATATATTCTTTCGAAATAAAATGTTTTCTCCCATTTACTGTAATTTAATAATTGCATATCAATTAGTCTTCTTTCTAGTATATAATAATAAGGTGATAGTATGCAAATATGAATTTGGTTGATCAACCTATAAACGCGTTTGCAAAAGCCATGTGCCTAACTTCAATAAAAGGAAAGGACACGTTGCAGCCTTCCATCAACCAAAATCCCAAATAACTATTTTATTTATTATCCTGCAGAAGCAGAGGCTTCAGACTTTCAGAATATCGCCACGCGTAGAACGCGGCCCAGTTAGGAAATCGCTTCCCTCCAAAGTAACTCAGCTATAAATACTACACCGCTTCTTCAACAATCAGCACCTTCATCTGCGTTTGTTTTCAAAGAATCGCACAGCTTCTTCTATCTCTTTCTACTCATCCCTTTGTTTCTTATATCTCTCTTCTATCTCTTTCTGCTCATCGCTATAGACTATATTCATCATACTCAGTACAGCTGCCTTTCGTTCATTCAGCAAATATGAGTTCTTATGCTGATCAGGCTAATGTTAGAGGTAATTCTCAGGGCCCATTTTAGGAAAAATTATTACGTGCGGAGTTCGGATTCATTCGGAGGCGAATCCAGACGCGCTGCATCACCCGGTGCCCGGTGCATCCGGGTGACGTGACGCATCCAAATTCGCCTCTGGATGATCCGGACACTACACGTAATAATAATCTCTCCCATTTCAGACAACTTTGTTTCCCACGTATTTGTCGTATAATGTTTTTGTTATTTTTGAAATTTTTGTGATGATAAATAGATTTTTTCGCAATCAAATTTGCTAGAGTATGATGATTATGAAAAAGTTTGATATCTTACTTTATCTAAAAAAAAAAAAAAACTTTTTCAAGATAACAATTTTCAGAGCCTCAAAAGGATTTCTCTGCTTATATGATGGAAAGAAAACAATTCATATCGTATTCATGCAGAATATGATAAGTTTTGAAATTGTTTCCTTATAATGTCTTTGATGATTTGATTCAAATGGAAAAAATAGATTAAAATGTAGAGAGATGAGATTGTGTACATCAATACCTCCGTTAAGAACACCAGCATTTGCATTGATGAATGAATTGTACTAAAAATTTAATTTCCTGCAACAAAAGTGATGAAATTTTTTGAATTTTTTCAAAGTTTAATAACTTAGTGCACTCACTCACACCTCCACTCTGATATCCTACTCCAGGTCCAGGGCAGGCCTATCCACCTGCAGAAGGGAAACCGCCAGTTCATGCCGCGCCTCCTCCAATGGGGTACCCTGTGAACAACAGTGTTAACTACTCCCAACAAGTTCCAGTGAAGACTAAAAAACGTGGCGATGGATTCTGGAAAGGATGGTAATTCTTGTTTCAGTTATTATTATTTGTTGATGCTGATTTCAGTTTAGTTTGTTCAATAATGCTAGTTTTTGTGCTTTGCAGTTGTGCTGCTCTGTGCTGCTGTTGCTTGGTGGATATGTGCGTTTGAGACTGGGAGGAGATCGGCTATATTAGGATAGCTAATAATAAGTGAAGGTGTATTGATTCTTATTATAAGTGTGGGATTAGATAGATGCATTTTTTGCATCTGTGTGTATTGTTTTTGTTTCAGATTTAGTTTGTATTTGTGCGTTTGTAAATTTTTTTATTGTTCAGCTGCTTGTAAATTGTTGAAACATATAGTTGATGAGGAATAATTGATACATACATAGCATCCATGGCTGTATAGGATGTCTTGTTGATTAACAAGAAAGTTACAAGCTCTTTTCCGTCTCAAGCTTCGTTTGGAATGGCTTTCTTACTGTTTCTTAAAGTAGCTTTCTTACTAGAAAATTATTTTAAGAAGCACTAAGAAAGCCGTCCGAAACGAAGCCTTAATCAGGGTTTAGGTTTGGTTTCTCAAATTTTGTTATTGTTAAAGAGACGTATAATCAAAAGGGATGTTTGATTAGAAGCATAAGTCAGCTTAAGTTTTAAGTCTAATCAAACAGCCCATTCTAATGTCTCCTGAGTAATTTAAGTTGAGTAAAAGATAAGTTAGGTGTTGTTGTGTTTAATGTTAAGTGTATGTTTATCAATTACAATGATTAAATAAATTTAAATGTAATTCAACTCATTAGAATAATTTCAATCATATTAAACCTATTTTTAAAAAAATAATTAAAACTTAAATTTCTTTTCATAGATGTCTTTTTACAACAATTATTCATATATTTTCCTAATCTTATCTTCTCAAAGTTATCAAGTTTATATGTTCATGATAAAAAATTAATTTATAATGAATTTAATTATTATAAATATGTAATCACAATTAAGTTTTCATAGACTTAGAATACTTTCCTACCACAATTGTCATTTTCATTCAAAAAATAACCAATAATACTCTTACAATCTTCTAAGCATTTGATTGCAATCTATAACTCATACTTCATACGAGTAACTAAGCAATAATTCAAACTGCTAATTGATAAGATAAATGGTAGTTATCACCTTACAATCACAGAGTACGCAGCAAAGGCTTCCTCGATACTACTTGTCATGTTTAATCTTCCAGTTATGGGCTGTCCTTGGAGCGCTAGCAATGCCTTCATAGTACCAAGGTTGCAGCTTCTGCTTGTTCCAGGCCTTAATGAAGCCTGAGAAAAGATCACGAGCTGCTTCAGATGAGAGGTCAGAGAAATATATTCCTCTCTCTTCTTTAAGCCAGGTTGAGAACTCATTGTTTTTGGAAAAGTAGTCTTCATCAGACAGTTCCTTGAAACCCTCCTTTCACATGAAAAAACATTAATCAATGTCTTATTCCAAAGAAGGAACATAGTAAAAGAGTTAAAGGTCCTATTGATCCTATTGATGTTTCCTAATGTGTCCTTTTGTCTAATAGAGGCACCATAAACTACATTAAGGCTGCTCACAAACTCATTCACTCCACCATTTGAAGAAAGCATGAAATCTTTATTTTAAAGTTGATTTCAAAAAAATCATTTGACTGTCGAGACTTAGAACTTCTGATTTTCATTTTGCCTGAGAGATTTTTCCTTCTAGATTTTTTGGATGAATTAAGGTAGTTCTTATTTATACCAACTCTGTTCTTGTCGTTGATGAAGTGGGGCCTCGATTCAAATGCCAAAGGAAACCGTCAAAAAGATCCCCAATTATTTTTAACATTATGGTGAAAATCCTCAGGGTTGTTACTTTTTATAATTTGATTGATGGTTGTTCATGAAGAGGACTTCATGCTTAATAAAGTGTTCAATTTTCTAATGAAGAACTCCTCTTTTGTGATGATACTGATTTACAAACACAATATCTTAGGCATCTTCTTCTTCTTCTTTGTAACCTTCTGGATTTACAATTTACTTTAATAAGTTCTCTCTTTATTATATTGGAAGAATCAATGATCACACTGATATTTTTATTAAAACCTTGAGATGTGTTATGAAATATCTTCCTTCAAAATATATTGGTATCCCGCTTGGTGTAAAATTAGACTCTTGTCATTGAAATCATTCATAAAAAGCTTTTTCCTATTTAAAGGGAGAATCTTGACTCTCATCACCTTTGCAATTACTACCCTTCATCTATCTTTTTTGTTCTATTTTTATATTCATTTTTGGGTGATACAAAATATTGATTGAATTTGGAATATTTTCTTCAGGACTGCTAATGATAAGGAGCATTTATTAGGTGGAACAAAATTTGTAGATATAACAAATTTGGTGTTCTTGAAGTGATAAATCTTATATCTGTCAATACTTTCTAAAGGGGTTTGGAAAACTATCAGCAATGATGCCTCTTCTATTGCTTGTAACATTATTAAGGGGCCCATTAGGATATTGAGCCTCCTGCTGAGTTTTGGAGGAAATGTTAATAAGGAAAATTTCAGTGTGAAATCTCTCTTCCTTAATAATCGCACTAAATGTTACATGTTGATTTGGAAATCATCAAAGTTTATTCATTTGTGTGGGTGGTTTTCCTTAATAAATTGTCAAGCAAGTTTATTTAAGCTGAAATTGGTGGATTCTAAGAATTGTGATGGACCGGTTCACCAACCGGTCCATCCACCCGGACCCCTGAGGGTCTACGGGCGGACAAGGCAGAGGCGGGCGAACCCGCCTGGAGCCAGGGAAAATTTCGGTGGGCCCTTTGGGCCCACCCATTTGGATCGGACGGCTCTCAAGGGGGGGCGGAATAGTATTGCATCTCTTCCTTTTTGCATCAAGGAGAAAGAGTCATGTTTCTAATTCTGGTAGGCATATTCGGGATGTTTTCTTTCTGGCTTTATGGAATATTTATAATGATAGAAACATGTTATTTCAAGATAAAGAGACATCAAAGGACATTTGGTATAATATCATTTTGTTTTCATATTTTTGGATTTACTCTTGTAAGACAAGAAAAGCATAGACTATTAAAGATTATACAACAAATTTTGGGCTCCTCCCAAACAATGCTAAGAATCTTATTATTAAAAATATGAAACTTTTTTGTCCTTTCTATAACCAAGAATTTGTGTTCTTGTGTATTCTTTCCTTGTGCCATTTTTTTTTATTTCGTTTAATGAGAAGGCTTTGGTCCAATTTTTTTCCCTTAAAAAATACACAAGATAAGCACTTCCCCTCTCATTCCATAAAGTGTACATTATTAGAAGCCAAATCA